CATCACCCTGCGCACTTACCTGGTGGCGGCCCGGGCTGGTCGGGCTGCTGAACCCTCGGCCGCGACGAGGAAGAAGCGCTGCTGCCGCCGAGAAAGCCCTGAGAGCCCCGGCTCGCTGAAAGCGCCTTCCCCTCCCCCTTTCAGCCTCCGGAGGGCGCGGCGCGGTGCGAGATTGCTCCGCCGGGTTTACTTAGCGCGGCTGCAAATGTGTGCGAGTCCGCCGGGGGGACGTCGTCGTCGTCGTCGCCGTCGTGCGATGCGCCGGCGCGGAGTCGGGTTCGTTACAATGCCGCCACTGCGAACCGGGTGTTTTCCTGTTCATTATTTTTTGGCGTGTGTGCAACGTGCGCTGGACTGGGCGCTGGCCGCGGCGGGGCGGCGGGGCGGCGGGGCGGCGTGCCACGCACGTAATGGGTGGAGGCCGTTCGACGCCCTCGCGGCCTTTCGCGGAGGCGCGGCACGGCAACGCACGGCGCGGCTTGGTGTGGCGGGCGGCGGTCGCATGTGGCGCCTCTTGGCTCAGCGCGCTGGAGAGGAAGAGGCAGGGAATGGACCGTGGTGTACGGCCGCGGTGTACAGTAGCAGGTACGTGCTGGGCGTGGTGGACGCGGTGGACGCGCCGGCGTCAATTGGGGACATGCAGAACGCGGAAGGAGAGGCCTGCGAGACAACGGGAGTTCCCGAAAACACGATGACAACAACAGCAAAGAACCGAAATGAACTCATAGTACAAAAATATTCCTTCCATTATTTTTTTGCCAAAATTTTGGGAGGGTGTGCCAACAAATTCGAAAGTCGTTCCGCTTGACAGCCGGGAGGGTCGGCCGCCCCAACTTCGCTGTCTTGGACCGAGTCTATTGCACACTTGCCTTGTTGCCGAGTTTCTTTAAATATCCCCCGGCTCGGTGCAGGGCGTGTCCTGGGGCACTGCGCGAACTGCGCGTGGCGGCACGCTGACGACGACGACAACACGTACGACTTTGTGATCCATCATCTGGGGAAGCGGGGAGCCGGCGAACCAGGCGGCGATTTCTGGAGTCCGCCCGCGCCGCCCGACTCCTTTTGGCCCACTCGTCCGCCGAGACGTTGCCGCCGGGACACTGCTCTCTCCGCCGAGTGCGATTCGTGTTCCTCCCCGCTTGTTTGCTGCTGGTGGTGGCGGACACGTTCAGTCACTTCGGTGAATTTTTCACGCTTATCGCTTATCCCAGGGTTTGTTTGTCGTGGCTGTTGAATGAGTGGATGGCGTGCCACCGGTCGTGCCGTGGCGGGGGCGGCCGTGGCGGCCGGGGGTTGTCAAGGAGCCTCGACGGCCGGGCCCGCTTGGCCGAGCTTCGCCGCTTCGCCTTCCTCAGGTGCGCGGCCGCGCGGCCTTGGCACTGGCGCGGCAAGGACGTAACGCCGCGCGTTAATGACCCTTCAGCGTGCCGCCACACTGACAGTGACAGCGCCGACAGTGTACCGACAAGCACGGGGAAACACAGCGACACACGCCGAGCGCCGCGGCCCGGCCGCACTGCCCCGCCACCTCTATTGACCCGGGTACCTGTCGCCCGGTCGCAGAGTCCCAGAGTCGCCCGGGGAGGCGAAGGGTAGAGTACCGCGCTCGCGGCGTGCGGCGCGCATCGCGCACGCACCTGCCATGTCACGCAAATAGACGAGGCTGCCACCGACTCCGCACGCTCCGCACGCGGCACACGACCCCCTCCGCCGCGTATGACAGCCGCGTCATTATCGATAGGCATCCGCGACAAATTATTGACGCCCCCCCCCCTCCTGCTTCAAATTGACAGTGTAGCGGTGTGTCCGACGGATTGATTTTCTCGTCCCGTTGCTGGTCTTCGTGGCGAGACAACCGCTGTGTTTGATTTTCGAGTGCGCCCGAGTGCCTCTAGGTCCGCCTCTAGGCCCGCCTCTGGGCCCGCCTCTGGGCCCTCTGGCCCGGGCATTGTATGGAGATGGCCTAATGCGTCGCGTCGCCTCCCGGCGACTGGGGTGCCTGCGCGACTGGGGCGACGACGACGTGCCCAGTGGCGGGGGAGCGGGGAAGGAACGGGCTGCACTCGCCGGAAGGTCTAGTCCCGGCCCCGCGCCGCCCCGCGCCCCGCGGGCTGAGCCGAGCGCTGTCAAGCACAGGCCACGCCGCCGCCGCGCCCCGTCTCCAACTCGATTATAACTGTGTCATTCCGACAAAAGGAGGGAGGGACGGAAAAAGTGGACTCCGCGAAGAGGCGCGGCGATCATCCCCATCGCCTTCGCCCTGTCATAATGCATTGTCTTGTTAGGCGGCACACACACGCGAAGGGCCGTGCCGGCCGTGCTCCACGCTGCGGCCGGGGCAACGCGCTGCCCCGTCCCGTGCCCTTCCGAGTTCACTCGCGCACAGCCAGTCTCACCAATGGCCCATGGCTGCCTATGGCTGCCTGTGGCATGGCATGGCCTGGTCGATGACGTTCCCCGTGCACCGCGCAGCACCACGCAGCCCCGCGCACCGGTTGGCTACGGTTGGTGGCCCCGTGGTGGTGTGACCCGTCTGTTCCGCCGCCGCCCTCCACCCCCGCAGCAGGATATGCCCCTCCGCCCCCCTGGCGGGAAACACCAGCCGGCAGGCGCGGCAGGCAGTCTTCTAGACCACAGTGAGAGAATATGCAAAGCAGTGCCGCGTTCACCCGATCACCGCCGAGCCGCTGCACTGGTTGTCGCTCCGCGCGCTGTTACGCAGTGGCCGCCGCCAGCGCGAGCGCTCTGTCCCCCTCGCACCCGCACCGACCCGCACGCAACGCCCCATGAGTGCGACACAGACAGAGCGACGGAACGGACGGGACGCCGGTTCGGAAACAGGCGGCTTGCATCACGCCGCCCGGGGAGCGAGGAGGGAGGAGGTCCAGCCCGGCGGGTAGGCAACCCGGCGGCAGGGCTGCGCGCCGGGGCGTGACATTCGACTGCCTCCCCGGCGCGCAAGGCCAGCTAGCAGTGGCGCGCGGTCTGGCGGTCTGCGGGCTCATTTCACTATTCCCGTCAGTCTGCCTCTCTCGCACCCACCCGAGACAGAGAATCCCGCTCGGAATCAGCTGGCACTTGCCTCTGCCTTTGGCGGCCACCCGGGCGAGCGACTTGAATGCATGTTGTCTGGAGACGGATTTGGAGGTGGTGCTGGCATTGGCCAACGCCGGCCAAGGCACTGCAAGGCTGCCAATGGCCTGCAATAGTCCCGCAACACGCGCGGAGCCTCCTGCACTGTAAGCAGTCCGTCCAGCGTAGTACAGCGACGCAGTAATCAAAGCAAGGCCGGCAGCCACGCGGTGGCCCGAAAAAAAAAAGAGTTTCAGCCCCCCGGTGGGTATCGATCTCGCGGCTTCTCGGTGGGCTGATCCGGTTTCATCCACCAGTCGCACCATACGTGCCATACGTGCGGCGGCGCTGCGATGCTCTGTTGGCCCGTCCACCCGTCCGCCGCCGTCCGTACGTCGCGCATCTCTCTCGCACAAAGGTATGGCCGCATCGATTGGCCACCGAAACGAGCCGACCCAGATACGAGGCAGACACCCGGCGCGACCGCAGCCGGAATGGGTAGCCATTTCGGGTCGAGAAAATGGAATCATCTGCAGCCCCATCGTCAATGACAACAATTGAGTTTCGTTGCGGCGGGTCCGCGGGAGGCCCCCTTCGGCCAAGCCTCGGCGCTTAACTATGCATTCGCTGCTCTGCCGCGACAGTGACACTGCCGGGGGCTGGACGGGCTGGACGACAGGGGTGGAAATCCCCGTCCCCGCGCTGCCCGTGTGGCCCTGCCCCGTGTCAACACTTGCGGGGAGGCGTCGATGAGGTCGGCGAGGCGGTGGGGGCGCCAAGCAGTGCGAGCCTCTCGAGTACATCCTCGCGCAAAACCGTTCCGTGTACGAAGACACGCAGACTGCAGCGCGCCGACGGTGGCGACGACGCTGCGTTCGGGTTCACGGCCGGTGGCGGTGGCCCGGGCTGCCCGGGCGAGGCGTGTGTGTGGCCGGGACAGTGTCCAGTCGTTGTGAGCACGCAAGTGGCCGCTTCCTGCAGAGCTGTCGATGGAGTGCGTCGAGACGCCGCCCCCTCCCCTCCCCCACACCCGCCAATTTTCTCTCATTTCATCGCGAGTTTGATTAGCTCTAGCGGGTTTGGCAAGCAGCGTGGCAGCGTCTGCTCCAGCCCACAGCCCCGCGGACTAGACTTCTAGACACGCGCCTGTTGGAGTCCCCCCCCCCCCTTTCCTCTGCTCGTCTCAAGACGACAGTGCCGCGACGTGCCGTGCCGCTGGCCGTGACGGATAGCCGCCTCGCAGTGTCACGGAGGCGATCCCTCGGCCCTATGCAGGCTGTGCAGCTCCGCGCTCGCACCCGCATAATTCAGCCACTTACACTGCCAAGACCCGCCTCGCCTCCCCTCACCCATGCCGTGCCACAAACACAACCAAAGTTGTGATTTATGTTAACCCTGGCGCTGAGTCACCGACTCGGAGTCTCCTGGAGTCTCCGGCGCACTGTGTACACTGACGTGGCGCTAGGCGCCCCGCGCCAATGAGGTGGCAGCAGCAGGGTGGCGTGACTCGAAGGCCGTGAAGGGTTGGACGCTGGCGCCAAGCGGCGGCAAGCAGGTGGCCTGACTCGTCCTCGTCCCCGGCGATTGAATGGCCGATGGGTGGCTGACGACGAGGCGGCCACGGTGCCGGTAATAGCCGCCAGGCCCGGACTTTCCTCCGAGCCCTTTAATTTTGGATGAATGTCACTCGGAGCGAGGAACGAAGGACGAGGTCGGCCGGGCGCAAGGGCAGCGCGCAGCACGGCGCGGCACAGCACGGGCCGGCCTGGACTCCCAGCCCACCTGAGCAACGCCGCCAACGCCCCCCATCATCCAATAAGCGCACCCAATGTGTACAGTCCGAGCCAGAACGAAACGACGACGCAAGCCACGCGAGCAAAGCGAAACAATGTCTCTGACGTCACCCGTTTGCTGTTCCTCTGTTGCAGGATGATCAAGGAGCTGTGGAGGCGGGAGCTGCGGCTCGACCTCCTCAGGGCGGACTACCACTCGCCGCACAAGTTCACGCAGACCGAGGTGAGCGTCGGCCGTCACCCGTCGGCCGGATTGAGTGAGACAAATTATCGTCTTTCTTTTCCTCACGCGACATTCCCTCGCTCTCCTTCTGCGCTGTCGCGCGGTGGCGTGGCGGCGTCCTCTTGCTTTCCCCGGCCGTTTACGCGCGGCCGGCAGCGCCACGCGCCACGCCACGCGGTCCCGTGGGAACGGCACGCCACGCCACGGCGGCTAGGCCAGGCTAGGCCAGGCTAGGCGACGCAAATGGTGAGAGGACGCAGAGGACGGAAACCGACGGAAACAGATGACGGCTGCCCTGCCGCCTGAAGCCTGCCGAGCCTGGCGAGCCTGGCCACCGAGGAAAAGCTGGACAAGCCTCGAGTCGAGGAGGCTCCTCAGGTGGCTCCGCAGTTCCCTTCGATGACTCACTCGGCGCGCGGAGTGTGGAAGGCCCACACGGGGAGGCCCCGAAGGACCGGCAGGACGTCAACCACATTTGTCTCACTTCGGGGAGTCGCGCGCCACGCCCCAAATCTCGGACCTCACTCGCCGCCTGCACTGTACACTTGGTCTGGTGGCTGACGCCTAGCTGACGCGTTCCGTGTTACAGTGGCAGGACCCACGGCAGCCGCCGGCGCTGTGGTACGTGGTCTACCGCTGGCTGTCGGCAGTGCTCTTCTTCGCCGTGGCCGTGTGCTCGGTGCTGGACGCGGGCCGCGACGGCCAGGACATCGGCGTGCGCTACGTCAAGTGGCCCATCTACCTCACCAACTGGGGGCTCGCCTGCTGCTGCCTGCAGGCCGCCCTGGGCGCCGGCATCGCCACCTCCAGCCTCGTCCAGGACCGGCGCCAGCGCAGAGGTACAGTAGTACAGTAGTAACCTACGGTACGCCTGACGCCTCGCCTACACTGGCAGAAAAGTAAAAGCGGCTCAAGTCGTTATTTTACTTCTCTGAAAGTGTGCGTCGGCGGACGAGACTTCCGTAGACATTCCTTTGCATCTTCCAGTAAGGTCGATTCATAGCCATACGGTAGTATAGACTACGCTCACAGTAAGTAGTGTCTTTCGATTTCTGAGCCCCCCAAAAAATCAGAAATCACTCCCTGCTAGAGTGTCTCACTTTAACCCTCCTTTGCTTCACCACCTCTGTCAAAATCAACTGTTTTTTCCAGTTTCCTTTTGGCGTTGCCGCCAACCCTACTTTCGTTGCAGTCAAGTGAATGTGTCGTGTAGTAGTAAGTCCCTTCTGGAGCCCCCTCCCCGGCGGTCCTCTCCGGTGTAGGCCCGCTTGGTGTCAGCCTACACTGCCCTGTATACTAATCTTACTAAGTGTGGCTTGGTGTCGGTGGGGGTGTCGTTGCTCCGTTACTCAGGGGGCCGGCTGCCGCAGACGCTGTACCACCCTCTGCCGCCGCGGTGTAGTAAGTGCCTCGAAGCTGCTTCTGGTTTGTTTTTGTGGTACTTTTTTTCGTAAGGTTTGCCAGCTGTAGCACCCCGCACCACGCGCGCACTGTTTTTGTGGAATGTCGTCAGCATCAGCACCTCCTCGGCACTTCTAGGCACCCGTTGTTGTCGGACTGGACTGTGCATGGACTGGTGGGAAGCTAGCTGACCCCGGAAATACTCCGCGCCCGACTCTGTCCTGCCCTTACGCGCGGGGTATCAGCGGGGTGGCATTTTCCCCACCGATGGTGTGTTCGTAGCAATTCGAAAGCAAACTGCCCCCCGGCCGCGACAACTGTTTGAGTAATGCCGCCTCCCCACCCCACCCCACCACGCCACGGACCGCCGCGGACCGTCCTGTCGATTTATTATTCACGTTTGCGTCGTATTAATAGTGCCAGGGCCGGGCTGGCTGGCTGCCTGCCTGCCTGCCTGCCTGGCGGGGTAGGCAACCGCACACACCGACGCGTTGTTTCGTTGTTTAGAGGCCCGGCCGTTACGGTGGACGCCTCCACCTGCGCACTCTGCTTTATCTCCTCCTGGATTAACGGCCCCGCCCGTCCGTGGCCTGTCCGTCCTGCAGGCAGTGCATGCCACTATCCGCACGACCGAGACTCATGTGTTTTTGGCGGGAATTTTGCAGCGGAACGTGAGAACGGGCCTAGCAGCCCCGCGGCGACGCAGAGTCTACAGGCGCCCGCCCTGCCGCTGGTGCACCGCCTGTACTGGGTGCTCAACACCATCTCCGTGACGGTGGCCATCGGCATCACCTGCACCTACTGGGTCGCCGTCTACGAGCCAGGTGAGTGGCGCGGGCGGAGCGGCAGCGACGGCGCGACTGTACCCCGCGCTGGGTCACTCGCAGCTCAGCGCTACTCCACGCGCAAGAGAACAGCTCGCGAGCGCGGGGTAGCGCCGGGCCGTGTCAACACACCCTGCTCCAGTGAAACAAAGTGACTGCAACTCTTCTCTCTCTGCCGCAGAGACGCACGTGCTGGACGCCCTCAACATCCTGGTGCACGCCGCCAACTCGGCGCTCATGATCATGGACATCCTGCTGGCGGCGCACCCGCTTCGCCTGCTGCACGCCTTCTGGCCGCTGCTCTTCGTCACCATCTACCTGAGCTTCAGCCTCGTGTACTTCCTGGCCGGCGGCACCGACAGGTCAGCGCGCTGGCGGTCGAGCAGGGCGTCATCCCCCACTGCCGGGCATGGCGCCTGTGGGGTAGGCAGTCCCGGGCGCAGCGCTGCTCGACGGGACTGCAGCTCTCCGTCGACACGGCGCTATGCTGCGCTACGCTGCGCTAGGCAGTGCAGTGCCGTGCCGGCGGAGCGCGGACCCATCCTTTTTTGAGCTTTGGTAGAGCGAGTCCGTGCACTGGTGCACCCACTCACTGCTTTGTCGTTGTCCTTGCCGCAGGATGGACCGGACGTGCGTGTACCCGGTGCTGGACTGGGCCAAGCCGACGCGCACCACGGTGGTGTGCGTGCTGGGGCTGAGCTTCGTGGTGGCCGTGCACACCGCCGTCTGGGCCATGCACCTGGCGCGGCGCCGCATCGCGCGTTCGCTGCGCGAGGCCAAGATGGCCGCCAACAAGGGCCAGGCCGACAAGAAGGACCCCGCCGTGCAGCTGGATGCCATGGCGTGAGGGGCTGGCGCCGTTCTGCGAGGAGAAGCGCACAAAAACAAGAGAAAGAAAGGAGGATCGAGACGGGTTGTGACATGGTCATGGTTTTGTTAGTTTGTTGTTTGAAAAGCACTGGTTTGTTCTGGGTCGGAACGCCTCGCGTCGTGCCGTGTTTGTGATAATGTCGCTTGGAGGTCTCGCGGCACGCAGGGACTGACAGTGACACAGTGACACTTTGCGCTCTGGAGGGCGCTTCTTAATCTTGCGACTTGAGTTGCTTCCTTTTGCGTTAATTCTAGCGCACGTACCAAAAATTATTTTAATTTTGTTTGCGTGCGACTTGCCAGCTCGGGCGATATTCCAGTTTCCTGCTCAATTTTTATTATCTCCTTACGTTTTTGTTTATCAAAGATGCATGTGCGACGTACTCTACTGGAGAGGTGCATATGATGACTGCATGCCAAAGAAAAAATGCAGGATGAAATTGAAGAGCATGATGATTCAACACGCTGCACTTTTAGTGTCATATGAGTCTGTAAATAGCCGATGCTAGGATCTGTTAGTTGTTATTTATAAAATAGTAGTAGTTATAATGTCAAGAGAAAATTAAATCAGAGGCGAGAGAGCCTTTTTCTTGATTGCCAATGTTTATATGTTTTATATTCGAGTGTTACTCTTATCTTTGTTTGAGTCTTGCGCGCGAGACTCTTTCTTTTCTATCTCTCTGTCTCTCTCTTTCTTTTGTGATATTTATTTTAAAAGGCAATAAACTGTGACTTGTAGCCAGCCGATTTTATGAAGTAGTGGAGTAGTGGCCATCAATGACTCTGGACTCTGTGAAGGTCCTCGCCATGGTCGCCTGCGGCCCTGCGGTCGCGGGCATCGCCCTCAACTAGTCTTTACACCTAGTATTCGTTCGCGTCCAGGAACGGCAGCAGAGGTATTCCAAGCGTTCGTCGTAGCGAAGTAGCGTTAAAGTTGCTTGTGCGGGCAGGAGGGCGTTCGATGCCAGGCTTAGAACGACCCTTTTGTGAATCTCTTTTAAATGGCACATGACTTTTAATTGTACTCGTTAGATTAGTTCGTCGTGTACTGGTATATCATATACGTATGGCGTGTAATTTTTATTTTGTGGAGCATGTCTTGTAAAAGTAAAATTCGATTGCCGCGGTCTGCTGGCCTTCCCGCGCGCTGGAGTTGAAAGGGTTGCCAACCCACCGGGCGCGCAGCGCGCAGCCACTCCGGCCCTTCTCTGGCTTCGCACATGCAAACCCTGTTCCTGCATTTTTGTTTCACTTTTTTTTTTTAAATTGGAATGCTTTATAAGCCTGCTCGAGACGATATATGTCAACATAATTTCGATTGGCAGACGTTTTATTTTTATTACTTTTACCCTTATGTGATTCGCAAGCTGACCGGTGATAAGTGACATATTCGGTTGCTATACTTATGTGCTATAGATGTTTGATGTACTACGTAGTTTGTTGTGTTTTTGTCTGTTAATAGTATTTAAAGCGTATATAGATGTGTTTATTAGCTGTCCCTAGAGTGTACGAGTCCCATCTTCGACTTCTGTATATTGATATTATGTGCTTGGCGAATTATATTTAATTTCCAAATACTGTAACTACTATTCTACTTACTTATACTGTGTGTGAGTCTTCATATGTTTCAAAGTTAGGGTATAAATTACAAATGATGTGTCTTTCGCCCCGTTTACGTCAAATAAAATTTCAAAATATTATAAAAGCGAACATGTTTTTTTTTCCCCCCATGGAACTTCCCTTTGGTAGCAGACCCCAAGTTCATACTATATCACCCACTTGATTCCCAGGGTGCTGATAGATCAAAGTCAGCAAACAAAACAAAGGGAGGCTTTGAGTCTGGAGCATGGAGTCGGCTCACGCAGGTGGACTTTCCCCTTCCAACACACTTCTTTTCAAACCCGCTGCCTACAGCGCGCCAGAGTCAAACGGCAGCTGACAGCTGACAGTCGCGTGACGTCATGCTGGCTTCAATGGGCTCTCCCCGGAGCTGAGCTTCTTTAAGATTGTTTTTACTGTCATAGTTCATTTTTTATTGTGAGATAGAGACGGGTCCACAGATCAATCGGTCTGTCAGCCAGTGTGTGCCCATAAGTGGACGCTGCGTTGTCGAGGGGCTCAAGATGTCGAGCAATATAATGTGCGAATGCATGACAGGGAGGGAAGGTGCGTTGGTTCACCTGTTGGATTATTTTGGTCAGGCTTTTGTTTGCAGCAGACAGTTGTCATGGAAAATCAGACGACAGTGTCTAAAACTGTTTTTGACAGAGTAGCTTGTTGAACCGGTTGGAAGTCCACTCTCTTCGTTTTAGGTAGGGTGTTGCTAGGATCTGTGTTGATGCATTCCCAAAAGCTGACGGAGCAACAAGCGTCTGGTTTGCCTGTCTCTTGAACTTTAAACCCGTAAATGTCCCAGTTGTTTGCTGGCATGGAAGGTTATGGTATGACGATGTAAAATTCAGTTTTATCATCTGCTTTTTCGTCACCCAGAGGGGATTGTCGACTCATAAAGATAATTTTCGCTCGAACAATGGAATTTTTATTCAGTACTGTCTGGTCTCTGACTAGCCTCTTGTATCTGCTCAGTTTTCCTGTCGCGTTCATTTATAGAAGAAACAGTGTAGTGACTTGCTACTGGTATCTAATACTATGCGCATTCATTTTTTTCAGATCACACCTTAAGCCCTCCAACAAACATGCTGCGCACTATAGGAACCATGAACCAAATCCCATCCTTGGTAACTCCCAACAGAAAAATATGAATGCTAAGAATTTAGTAAGCGTTAATGTTTACTATATTTGCTCTTATTCTTATTTTCAGATTGGTCCTCAAATTGACCGAATGCTTATGTCGTCGGTGTTTGCTAAGAGATGGCCACACAGCTCAGCGGTAACTTGGCAATCAACAGCTGCAGCACAGAAAACAGATGTTACTTTACCCCAACTACCTGTTCCTCCACTGCAAAGCACTCTACAAAAACTAATTAAGTACGTCAAATGAAGAATGTGTGTATTTTTCTCTGTGGCTTAGTATCAAGATCTTTCATTGTTGCGTTTAATTGTTCAGAACAGCAAAACCCCATCTATCTGCAAGTGAACTGTGTGATACCATTAAAATTGTCGAAGAGTTTGGCAAAACCGGTGGTATTGGGGAGAAGCTCCAAGCCAAACTAGAAAAGAGAGCCCAAACCAAGCATAACTGGGTAAAATATTTTACTTAATCTATAATGAGCATCTATAAGTTGATTTCTCACTACTCATGCGATGCATTATGAATTTTCTTTTAGCTTGAGGATTGGTGGCTTGCATACTCCTATCTTGGTTTTCGTAGTCCAGTTGTCGTTCACTCCAGTCCAGGTCTGGTATTTCCTCTTCAGGACTTTAAAGATGTAAATGAACGGCTGGTTTATGCTGCTCGCACTATCGTGGGTGCCTTGAACTACAAACTACTCATTGACAGGTTTGTAATTCAAATTTCAAAATATCAGACCTGTTCTTCTCATGCCATTTTTCAATTATAATTCAATAAAAGTGTTTAAAGATAGAAACTACTACAAAGAAATTTTTTTCTTGCAGTGGAAGGGTTCCTCAAGACAAGCAAGGCAACAATCCATTGGATATGGTGCAGTACTCCAGGATTTTTGGTGTCAACCGTGCTCCACACATTCCTCTGGACAAGCTAACATTTGCGGATCCCAAATGCCCTCCTAAGCACATTGTTGTTGTCCATAATAATCATGTAGGTTACTGTTGTATGTTGTGATGCCAACTCTTCATAAATCTATCATCTCAACCAAATTGATAACCTTTTCATATTTTGTTGGTAGTTTTTCAAGGTGCCAGTCATTAATGAGAGAGGCTTGCCACTGGATGAAAAGGAAATTCTTTTCATGCTGAAGTATGTTATTGACAATTCCAAAGTAGCTGCCCCACCAGTTGGTATTCTCTCTAGTGCCCATCGGGATGAATGGAGTAAGGCTTACAAGGAACTGTCTTGCGTGAACAATGGAGGTGACTAAGCTTTGGAATGCTTCCAGAATTATTCTTAACTTTCATGTCATCAAAAAATATATTTACTTGTTTGTCTTTTTTCAGTGAACAAGAGGTCCATAGAGGAAATAGAATCTGCTTTATTTGTTCTTGCTCTGGATCAAAAAAATCCTGAAATGCCAAAAATTATGAATAGGCGAACAGTTGCTGCACTTCAAATGTTGCATGGTTTGGGAAGTTTCTCTAACAGTGGAAACCGTTGGTTTGATAAAACCATACAGGTAGGTGGTTATCAAATATATATGTTCGTCTATTCAGTTAATTAATCCTTAAATTAAATGTAAAATTTTGATGAAATTAATGGTTTCTAGTTCATTATTGGAACTCATGGAGAGGTTGGTCTGTGTTATGAACATAGCCCTGCTGAGGGCCAGCCTGTGGCAGTGATGATGGACTTCATTCTGAAGCATATGTAAGCATTGTTCTTTTTCATCTTTCTCTCTATTTGATTGTAAATAGAAAAAATAATTTTGAAACTTGTTTTCCCACTCAGTGCATCATGTAAAAATGAATTTGTGAAGGAAGTTACCTGCCCTCGTCCTGAGCCTTTGCCATTTGTTCTGAATAATGCCCTGCAGTGTCATATTGAAGACGCCTCACGTGAAATTGACAGGTTTGTTTGAACTGAGACCAGAAATTTATTTTATAAAGTGTCATCTGTTTGCACTTATGCTAACATCTGTCCTAATGTCTTCTCACAGCTTGGTTGCAAATGTGGATATGAATGCCCATTCTTTCAAGGGCTATGGTAAAGATTTTCCCAAGCAAAACAAAATGAGCCCTGACAGTTACATTCAAATGGCAATGCAACTTGCTTTCTTCAGGTAGGTAGAAAATTAAGGTACTTAACTGATGTTTCTTTTTCCATTTTAAAAATATTGTGATGATAATTTTATTCTAATGTTTGGCACTATAAGGCTCCATGGACTACCTGCTGCAACATATGAGACTGCCAGTACACGAATGTTTTTAGGAGGCCGAACTGAAACAATTAGATCATGCTCTGAGGAATCAACCCACTTTTGCAAGACTATGCTTGATAGTTGTGCCAGTCTTGATGACAAGTTCAAATCCCTCAAAACAGCAGTTAATGCTCACCGATCCTACACTATGGAGGTGAGTCTGTTTATTAAATTGTAATTGTATTCGGTTTTTAGTTCACAATTACACTACAACCCTCTTTCCCTCCCCAGGCTTCTAAGGGCCAAGGCGTTGATCGACACCTTCTCGGCCTGAAGCTCATTGCCCAAGAGGATGGTGTAGAAACACCTGCCCTTTACTCTGACCCAGGAGTTACCCGCAGCGCTCGCATGAGAATATCGTCCAGTCAAGTTAGTACACATTCAATTTCATCAAATTCTTAATTCTTAGTGTGATCAATAAAAATATTGCATTCAATTTTATCATTATCAGGTGGCTGCCTCTGTTGAAGCGGTAATGTGCTACGGACCTCTTGTCCCAGATGGCTATGCTTGCTGCTACAACCCATTGCCTCAGCAAATTATGTTTGCTATTTGCACCATGAATGAATGCCCTGAAACAAGTGCTCAGGCATATGTTGATGCTCTGGAGGCATCACTTTTTGACATGCAGAAGGTTGTGTCATCATGCAGCAGTGTTCAATCAAAATTGTAAATTCATTTACCAGTAAGTCCTGTAAAGTATTTTGGTACTGGAAGAACTGTCCCTGGCATGAATATTATGATACAAATGGTTTCAGGTTTTATTGTGTTGGTTTTATTTTTGATGCCTGATTATGTGATGGTTTGCTGGTATTAATCTGTTTTTAGTGGTTTGTGTTCAGTATTTATTTGCTGTATTCTTAATTTTAAAATGCCCACCAACTTTATATTTAGTCATTCAACTGACCATACTATGGAGTTTCCTTAGTAGCTTGCCTTTGTATTTTTACAAGCACAGAAAAACTGAAGACTTAATATTTTTTAGCCTAATTTAATGAGAGGCTTGGACTGTAACTCATTTAGTGATTATATTTTGTGATGTTTACTAATTCTTATCTATATCTTTGTTACCCAATTATTAATAAACTTTAATTCTCAAAATAGTTATCTTATTCAAGTCTGCCTTCAATCCTTTTTCTCCTGCATCAGTGTTTGTTTAATGTTTTGGTTCAAAAATCTTAAATGGTCCAAATTGGAGCATGTTGTGCTGAAGCACTCCCTAATGATTTCCTCTTGTTTTTTTTTTATATATATAATTTTCTTTTCATACATCAGATATTTGAGGTTTGTCAAAATGGGGTGGGAGGGTTCAAGTTCACTGAAATACAAGTACACAAATTTTAATTAATAAATCGGCTTTGCCTTTCTTTGTATAATTATTATTACTTGGTAAGGACAACAAAGCTAGACAGGATGACACCTCACAAATACATTCATTGTTAATGGCAGCTTATTGTGATATAATAGGAGCCATATTTATTGAATTTCCTTACATTCTCTGCTGTCCCTAACAGCTAAATATATGTGCATTCAGTACACACAAGAATCAATCCTCCTACAACATTGACTTTTTAAATACATTAGAAATATCACAGATCTAACCACTATCATTGACAATGCAACTAGCAGACTCATCATTTAAATTGACGTGTCTGATCTCCTAGCCTCAGTGCTTAGGTTTAACAAAGAAATGACGCCCAAGGCTTGGAAATTTTCATAATAATTTAAGAAAAATCGGGCAGGTCCTGCACCGCACCGAGAATCCTATCTGATGCCTTCGACGGGGAGGAGTGGCCGCCAGGAGGCAATCCGCAAAACAGACCCCTCCCCCACCCTCACCCCAGTAAGTAGGCAGGCAATCTGCAAAGCAGCCCTTGAGTAAGTAGGCAACCCCTGTGGGTTACGAGCCCCTGCAACCGCGCCAGAGCGGCACTATAAAAAGAAGTTAAATCAAAACGACTAAATCTATTAGTGTGACAACTGCTTGATCGATTTCCCAAGGAAGCAAACTAATGTTTAGTCCAGTCGATTTAACTCTCTTCACAGTGTGGCCACATGTTGCAGTACTCAAGACGCCAGCAGCGTGGGGCTGAGCACGTCACCGCGGCCCTGGCGGCCCTGGCCGTGTGGCGCTCCTCTCTGCAGGCCGCGGTCGTCCTCGCGGTCGTCCTCCTCGTCGGCGTCCTCGGGCATGGCCAGGGGGCAGTGCCTCGAAAGCCTGGGCGACGGCGGTGAGTCGGCGGGGTGCTCTGATGCCTCCACTCGGTGCGACCCCGGGGGCGAGGGTGGCGGTGGCGGCGAGGGCGACGGCCCTGAGGGACTAGCTTCTGAGCTGCGGGGTAGCGGGCACGGCGAGGCGGGTGGCGGCGGAGAGGGGCAGTCCTCGACGACGCGGTCCTCGGGTTCACTGGGAGGGGCGAGTTCGGGGTGCGGGGTCAGCCTGCCCGAGTCGGCGGCCTGATCCGCACTGCGAGCCTCCGCGGTCTCTAGTTCCGACGTTGGCGGCGGCGGCGGTGGCGGCAGGGGCGGCTCCGGTGTGCTCCGGGAGGTGCTGCTGGGGCTGCGGCTGCGGTCTTCCGGGTGGTCCGCCACGACGCGGCCCTCCTCCTCCTCCTCGTGCCGTGCCGGGGACGCGGCTCTGCACTCCGGCGACGTCGCTCGCGGGGGTGTTGGACTGGGGGACGCCGTCGCCGTCGGCGAGCTGCTGCGATTCGGAGGCACGGCCGACGCTTGTTCCTGTTCAGGACACTCTGCGGGTCTGTCGTCACTTGCCGCCGGGGCTTGGGGAGCTGTCGGGGCTGGCCCTGCAGACGACGCCGACGACTCCGGGCTGGCGTCGCGGCTGCTGGTCCTACTAGCCCCGCTGGCCGCGCCCCGGGCCGCGGGCGTCCCTTCCCGGGCGTCGCGATTTGCGTCCCGGTCGTCGGAGGACGCGAGCGACGCCTGGGACACGGACTGGGGCATGGCGGAGTCGGCGTCGCGGCCTTGGGGGAGGCTCAGCTGCGGCAGCGACACGGCGGCCGACAGGCGCTGCAACATAGCAAGAGCAAGGGGGAGGCTGGTTATTTGTTTTGTCTGCAAAGCACTGCTAAGCGGCCAGTTGCTGGCAGGCAAAGGGCGAAGCAGCGGGGCTGTAGACCAGGGCTGCAGCTGCAGCCTGGTCCCGGACAGCGCTTTCGTCGTGCCGTCCCTCTCGCACCCCTGGGGCCTTAGGGCACGCCCCATGAGTGCGAGTGAGAGCGACGAGCGCAGTTCAAAATCAGACCGAACCGCGGGACCAGAGAGCGGCTATCGACCAAACACTCGGCGGGGCGGTGGGGCTCACCTGCTGGGCCTTGTCGGCCGCGGCCGGGGGCGGCGGGGGCGGCGCTTTTCTCTTCTTGCGCGGTTTGACGGGCGGCCTGGGGGCGGTCGTCGCGGAGGGGCCCACGGCGGCGGCGAGGCGCGGACCTGCTGCAAAGCACACAGTCAAAATTAAAACCTTAGAGTGTAGCCGCGACCGGGGACCGGGAGTGTTTGTCTCTGCTCAACACCTGGCGGCCTCTCCGGCGGCGCGGCAAGCGCGACAGAAGCTGCCACTGCCGGCCACGGCGCCGCGGCCATGACGGGGCGGTTCGGGGAAGGCTCGGCTGGGCACTAGCGGAGCGGACTAGCGGCAAGGCCGCAAGGCCTGCTACCCTGCAGCTACACTCTTCCGGGGGACGCCGTTTGAGCGGTAGTTTCGCGTCCGGCTGACGAGAAGTACATGGTTGCCAATTTGAAATTTGAAATGGATTCCTCTTCGCCTTCGGCTGTACGTACCCGGTGGCCGAGGCGGTGGTGCGTTGCCGTTGCTGCCTGTGGCTGCCGCGGGGTATTCCTTGGAGGACCCGGACGACCTGCAAACAACCAGAAAAACGTCCGTCAAGTCAAACATATAAGATGAACAAGACGCGATTCGCCGTCCGACCGGGATTGGAACCAGCACGCCACGCGCCACGCCACGCCACGACGCTGACCGCGTGGGCTTTCCCTCGCGCCTCGCGTCCCGCTGACACTGTTATTGGCGAAGCACCGCGGAGCGGGAAGGGAAGGCAAGGTCGAGAACGAGAACGCTCGGCGTCCCGCGGTGGTGCGAGAGGGACAGAGAGAGACAGCGAGGCAGCGTGACACAGGCCGGAAGCTGGCGGCGCTGGGCCGCCCTGGTCCTGGGCGGCCGATGGCAGCGATGGCAGCGCCACTTCCGGTCGCATCGACTCCGGTGACATTCACAAGCACGTGGCGCACTTCGAGCAGTCGCCGCTCCGCTCCGCTCCCACCTGTTCGGGCGCGACCCGTGAGTGCGACAGAGACAGCGCGACAGCTCGGGCGTGAGCGAAGCTTTCCGCCCCCACCTCTCCACCGCACTCGCGAGTCAATATTTGGTCTGCTGGACTAGACAACGACGGCCACCACACCCGCAGTTTCTCTCCTTCTCTCCCCTCTGCGCCTCGCTGGACGTCGCGCAGCCCGGCGCAGCCTCACTCTCCGTCGCCGCGATCGTATCACACCCCAAGTACGGCTGCAGCAGTTCGCCGGCAAAACGGCAAACTGCCGGGATCGCCGTGAACACGCGGTGGGCACGGCGGGGATAGCGAGGCGGTGCGCGGCGCGTCGGCCGTCCGAGAATAGCAACCCCTCGCCGCCCCGGCCCGGCGCCCCGCCACCCCGGCCCTCGCCGCGGCACATGCACAGTGCGGCCAGGCCGGCCAGCCAGCCGCACCTCAAAAACGCGTAAGAGAAGACGCGGCGTCGGGGAGTGTCTGCAGCACATTCCGCTCTGTCTCTCTCGCACCCCTGCGCAACGCCCCATGAGTGCGAGAGAGACAGAGCGTCGGAATCGGGCTGCAGCCGGTCAGCCCGGCGGGTAGGCAAAGCGCCCAGCCGCAACGCACCCGTGCGTCGAGGTTGCCTGCCTTCCAGGCGCCCCGCCCCGCTAGCGCGGTTTTGACTCCACCACTGCAGCACAGCACAGGGTAAAGAAAGGCGCTGCCGAGGCGGCGGGGCTGGAGGGGGAAGGGGGGGGGGAGTGGAAGGGTTCTCTGGTTTTGCGGCATGCCGCGCATTCCTCGCACTGTCGCCACGGCCCGGCCCGGCCCCGCACTGGGTACATCGCACCGGCGCGGCCGGGCCTGGCGAAGCCTGGCGCTTGGCATTTACGGTACTCGCATAGCGCACGGCATGGCCTGGCATGGCCTGGCAAGGCGCCGCACCGGACCGGGCTGCAGCGTGCAGCCGCCGAGCCAAGCAGTGCTCTCGTCGCTCTGTCTCTCTCGCACTCATGCAAACGCCCTGTAGAAGAGAGACAGAGCGCTGTTTGGAATCGAGCTGCCGGCGCCGCCCTGGGGCTCGCGGCTCGGCCGCTGGGAGAAACAGAGTCACACCGACAGCGGAATAATGCCAAAGAGTGTGTGCGTGAGGGAGAGGAAGAGAGAGTGTGCGTGCGTGTGCGAGTGTGCGAGCATGAGGGGTGGTTCGGGGTGGGGGAGGGGCGCGGCGCGGCGAGGCAAGGCTGCGGGGACAATCCTTTGCTTCGAGTCGCGGGCCTGGCTTAGTCAAGTAAACAGCTTGTGCGGGCTGCAGGCAGCAAGCGGCAGGCTTTGTTCGGCGGCCGTGCGGACGGGTTGGGCCCCTAGCTCCGCGTCTCGCATGCCACAGCGCGCTGATTCCGAACGGCTTCGACGGTCTGTCTCTCTCTCACGCAAACCCGCGAAACGCCCAATGACTGCGAGGGGGACAGAGCGACGAAGCCTCGCTCGGAACCAGCCGGCGGCGCTCCCCGGCCACGTCTGGCCCAGCCCAGCCCCGCTCCCTGATGCTCCCCGTGACGACGGCAGCGACGGCCCAGTCGTTACCCCACGACGACGCACGGAGAAGCGACGCACCGCTACAGGTCCCAGGTTGCGTCATCCGCTCGGTCATCCGCGAACCCTGCGCTGTGAGTCACAACACAACAGAGCTCGACCGGCGGCCGGCTCGGATAGCCCAAGGTATCCCACGACACTGTCGGCCGTCGGCCTGCCCGCCGTCCCGGCGGTCCAGGGTTCGACGCCCACCGGCGGCGTGACCCACTTTGGCGGCGGTGCGGCCGAAGCGCGCGGGCCGCCGATAATGCAGGCCTGGGAGTAAACAGGCGAGCGCGCCGCCGAGGCCCGCACTGCCCGCAGCAGGCAGGCTTTGAACAGCGCTCCTCTCTCGCACCCCAACGGGACGCCCCACGAGTGGAAGAGAGACACAGCGACGAAACCACGGTTCGGAGTGGGCCTGCTGGCGCTGCATCCGGAGCGCTCGCACTCGGCGACGCTTGCGGATAAGCAAACTCGCTGATAAGGGGCGGGGCGGCAGTGATTCACCGTGCCGAACCGAATGGACCGGAAGGCGCGCGCCAAGAGCGTGCTGCAGGTGGGGAGGCGCGCCAGAGCCACGCCACTGCCAGGGGGCCTGTCGGGGGGCCTTGGCGAATCATCTCCACCTCTCCGCGCGAGCAGCGAGCGAGCAGCGTCATGACGGCGGCGTCCTGGTGGTGTCGCCGCGTCGCCGCGTCGCGAGATGCAGACACTACACTGTGTCAGAGTGCCGCGGAAGCCGAAGTCGACTCGCACGCGGACACGGCGCTGGCGGGGACGATGAAGCGTGACGAAGGAGAGGCGTTGCTTGGCGTAGCCAGGCGTTTCCACGCCTGCAGCCGCTCGAATGGCATACAATCATGTGCGGTCTAGCCCTTAATGGTAATGGTAATGGGTGGTAGGCAAGCCCGCCAAACAGGCGCGTCGCGCAGGACGGCATACCCTTCTGTTCGCAGGCGCCCCGCCCCGCCCCGCCCCGCCCCGCCCCGCCCCGCCCCACCCCGCCCCGCAGCAGTCGCCGATCCGATCCGAGCGTAACGTCCATTCTCGTTACGCGCAATTCGCATCCAGAAAAGAAGGAGTTGTCGCGTGGGCAGCGGCAGCATGCGCGCACCACTTGTAATGTAAGCAGCAGACGGATCCCCTCTCTCTCTCTCTCTCTCTCTCGCACTCGTGCGAGGGGGACAAATAATCGGCGGGGACCCTCGGCTCGGAATCAGCCTGCAGCGGAGCGACGGCTGTCAGGGGCTTGAAAGGCCGGCCGAGGCTCAAAGCAGCTGAAGCGATGGGCGTGCCCCGCCCCGGCACGGCCGCGGTGGGGCCGTGGCGAGGCGACCCGGCCAAACAGTGGGGCCCTCGAACGGCGGTCTGGGATTCGGAGCGCTGTAACGACACTGTAACGAGCTTCGGAACGCGCAGAGTGGTTACGAATAATAACGCCGATTGGCGGGAATCGTGAACTATTGTTTTTAGAGAGGCCGGGGCGGTGGGACAGTGCGTATCTAATTCATGGGCGAGTTGAATCGATGAAGCGCCGAGCGAGCCGTAGCAGTGTGCCTCCGCAGTCCAGGCGGTCTAGTCGAGGGAGTCTAGACGCTGGCGCGCGCTGGCGCGCGCTGGCGCCAGGTGGGGCCCTAGAAGTAGCCCCAGAGTCGAGGTTTGTCCAGAGGCGGCCCTGCAGGCGGGCATTACCATAAGGAATTTCACGGGGTCTGTGGGCCATCCTAATATTATGCTCTGCGGGCCCGGCGAGGGGGCACGGCGAGGGGGCCCGGCCCCGCCGCCTCCCGGCCCCCAGCCCCTCGGTCGCGTAATTCGGCATTGTTTCTCCTGAGAGAGTCGACATCGTTCGGCGGTTCGGCCGTAATCCGCTTTCTGATTCACACACCGCGGGGCCGGCCGGCCGGGCCAAGCAGCGCGCGGCACACTGTGCACTGCACTCGCCCGGCTACTTCCTGCGGTACTTTGCAGGCCCGGCCGGGCCAAGCAGCGCGCGGCACACTGTGCACTGCACTCGCCCGGCTACTTCCTGCGGTACTTTGCGGGCCCGGCCGGGCCAAGCAGCGCGCGGCACACTGTGCACTGCACTCGCCCGGCTACTTCCTGCGGTACTTTGCGGGCCCGGCCGGGCCAAGCAGCGCGCGGCACACTGTGCACTGCACTCGCCCGGCTACTTCCTGCGGTACTTTGCGGGCCCGGCCGGGCCAAGCAGCGCGCGGCACACTGTGCACTGCACTCGCCCGGCTACTTCCTGCGGTACTTTGCAGGCCCGGCCGGGCCAAGCAGCGCGCGGCACACTGTGCACTGCACTCGCCCGGCTACTTCCTGCGGTACTTTGCGGGCCCGGCCGGGCAAGCAGCGCGCGGCACACTGTGCACTGCACTCGCCCGGCTACTTCCTGCGGTACTTTGCAGGCCCGGCCGGGCCAAGCAGCGCGCGGCACACTGTGCACTGCACTCACCCGGCTACTTCCTGCGGTACTTTGCGGGCCCGGCCGGGCCAAGCAGCGCGCGGCACACTGTGCACTGCACTCACCCGGCTACTTCCTGCGGTACTTTGCGGGCCCGGCCGGGCCAAGCAGCGCGCGGCACACTGTGCACTGCACTCGCCCGGCTACTTCCTGCGGTACTTTGCAGGCCCGGCCGGGCCAAGCAGCGCGCGGCACACTGTGCACTGCACTCGCCCGGCTACTTCCTGCGGTACTTTGCAGGCCCGGCCGGGCCAAGCAGCGCGCGGCACACTGTGCACTGCACTCACCCGGCTACTTCCTGCGGTACTTTGCAGGCCCGGCCGGGGCATAGCGTTCTGCCTCAGGCCGTCGAACGCGTCCAACAGCTCCAAGGGTCTAGCAAGGGTAGGCCAAAGGGTGGCCCAAAGGGTCTTCCAAGGCAGCTCGGCGTGCTGGCGCACTGTCGCAGTGCGTGCCGGCGCTGGCCGGCTGGCCGTGGCGAGCCGCAGCGGGGCGCGGTGGCCGCGGTGGCGTGCTGGACACACTGACCGATTTCACTTTTACT